ATAACAACTCTTTGTAAAAACACAAAGGAAATTACATTAAAAAATAAATAAATAAAGAAAAGAGGGAAAAAAGGAAAAAGTAAAGCAAAGCAAAAAAAATAAGGGTAAACTACCAATATGTCCTAATAGTTGGACTTAATTTTCATCAAGTCCCATTGAAAATAAATCTTGGTAAAATTGTCGCTAAAAATTTTTTTTGTGACAATTTTTTACATACGTCGCTAAAAATTAACAATTACTGATTTTTTTTATCATGATTTTTATAAATTGTCGCTAAAATTTATAATTAGTGCTTTTTTTATAATAAATTTTTCCCATATGACCTATTAGACAATAAGTCTACTTATTAGGGCATACACGTAAGTATCCCATAAAATAAAAAGTGCATGAGTTTAATATTTTTATTCCGTCTAAATAATTACAATGACTGGAAATTTTCCAAATGTCAAGGGTGATATGTATTAAATCCAAATCTCAGGGGGTGTAAATGTAATTTACCCTATTTTTTAATTTATTTTAATTATGTCAAATTTCTTTAAGATCCTAATCCTAAAAATTATAAAAATTTTAGTTTTCATAAAATATAAAAATAAGAAAATTTTTGTAAATCTTTTTATAAAATTTATGTCTTTTAGTAGAAGAAAATTAAGGGCTAGTTTGGCTTATCCTATATAAGCAAAAAAGCTAAAAAGTTACTCCAAAATCCAAAAAGATATCACTATTCTAAAAAAAAAAAAAAATCAATTTTGTTTCCAAAAAGTACACACCGAATTCAATAAAGTGCGGCTGTTGTGTGCGTAAGTGAGAAAAAAGAAATGATTGGGTGTGATTTTTACACACACCGTTGTTTGTCCCATGGGGGCTATCACGGGTCCCGTTTTGATAATCTGAACCGTTCAATGTGTAGAAATCGTCGAGTACTATATGTCTTAACAAAAATCACATTGATCGGATATCGATAACTATATGATCAAATCAGTTATGTACAACAAATGGATAGTGTTATAATTAATGATTGAAAAATAAATAAATCTGATCAGATAGCTATCGATATCCGATTAACGTGATTTTTTATAGGTACATAGTGTTCGACAAGTTACACACATTGAACGGTTCAAATTATTAAAATGGGACCCGTGATGACCCCCACGGGTCAAACAAAACCGTCCAATGCTTTGTACAAAAATTAGCCAATAATTTTCAACTCAAATTACACAGCCGGTTGTGCAGCCGGTTGTACGGCTGGGGCCCACTCCTCTCTTATCATCTCTTACACACTTTTTTTATACAATTTTTTAATACACATTTTTCCATAAAAAGTCAAAAAGTTAACCCAAACCTCTATATTTTTTTTTGTCTTTTTAGTCCAAAAAGACAAAAAGTGTACTTTTTTAGGATACCCCAAACCAGTCCTAAGTTAACCCAATTTTAAAAAAATTTAGAATCCAAGATAGATCTATAAAATAAAAAAATTAACTATTAATTTAAAAAAAAAATGTTCATGTCAAAAAAATAAGTTAGAATTTTAATTTTAGCCAAATGAATTGAGCGACAGTAAGGGTGTAACGCCCTAAAAAATAAACCCATCATAACATACATTCACGATAAAGAGAAGAGATTTTATATTACAATCATCAGAGTATTCTTACAAAAGGAATTACATGTTGACAACAAAAGTAAATGCCTTATAGGCTTACAACTTTTCAAGTTAACACTTGGTTACAAAAAAAGAGTACTAACTCTACACAAAATAAGCCCTTGGCTTGATATACATGTAAAACAACAAAAACAACAAAAAGGAGTCTAATAGCCTCAAGCCTTCCAAGCTACGTCCTTGGAGGTGGCATAACACCTGTACCTAAAAATGATGTCCCATATAGGGTGAGCCAACGCCCAGTAGAGATATGCTAAACAAAATATGAGCAATAACTAAAACATGAACATTTGATAAATGTTTAACTCACATAAATCAATTCATAATTCCTTTCAATTACATGACCAATATGTCCATGCTTCATTCCATTTCCTATTACTTATCCAGTTCTCAATCTATGAATAAGGCTCAGAACCTAGCCAACAATTAATGAGACTATAGCTCATATCAATAATACTTCCTTGATCCACAATAGATACACATATTTGTTGTATCAATAACGCATTTAAACAATTCCATACTTCACAATAGATACACATATTCGCTGTATCAACACTTCAATAGATACATACATTTGCTGTATCAATGGAGTCCATCCCCTTATCTCCTCCTAAATAATATCCGGTTTAGGAGTCCATCCTCTATCTCCTCCTAAACCATGGAGTACATCCCCTATCTCCTCCCACACAGCACAATGTATATGAACACATATCAAATACATAACCAATCAATACATAAATTTGATGTATTATTCCAACCGTCATATTCAATTGATTAGTTTTAATTCACCTAATCATCATGCAGTGTCTACGACAATCAAGACTATCCTCCACCGATAGCCCAAAGCAGTTATTTCTAAACAGATAATAAATGCACCAACAGATAAATTATCAACATTTCTCAAAGGTGGGTGATTATTATATCTAACTCCACCATTCTACTACATAATGAGCCAATTTCATTATTCCCAACTCAATTTCATATTTCCATAACATTCCCAAATTAAGTATATAAATTAATTCATAACATCAAATTAGGGCTTTTCTCTCTCTTTCTCAATATTGACCCAAAGGCTCAAAATATCTTCAATAATATCAATACCCTCATTTTATGACCCAAGATACACAAGTGTGGGCCAAAATAACAAAACCCCTCTTTCTCATTTTGAAAATCCTAACACCCAAAATTACCCAATATCAACATTAAATCAAAATGACCAATAGTTTATGTCAAAGACCATAAAAATGAGTAGTTATCCCTATCTCAAATTTCGGAGCTCAACGGCGAAGATGATGAAAACTCAAAGTGCTCCAAATCTATAAATTTTCAGATTAAAAGGAAGCCCAAGTCACCCTCTATCTTTCTTACAAAGAGGTTAGGGTAGAAACACACTATAAGTAGATCAATCCCTAGAGAGAAGGTGAAGTCTAGAGTGAGGAGCTCTCAATTTTGGGTTTGGGAAAGTAAGAGAGAGAAAGAGTCAAAGAAAAATAGTCCAAAAAGCTGTCTCACGGATTGGTATAAAACTCGCCCTGCTCGAGCGTGGAACTCCCCGCTCGAGCGTCAAACACAGACTCACGCTCGAGCGTCGATTGCACACTTCCAAAAGTTTTGTAGACCATGGTCCCCCCTTGAGCGTCAGACTCCCCGCTCGAGCGGAGGAGCAAAAACGAAAGGTCCCGCTCGAGCGTCAAAACTCCCGCTCGAGCGTACGACGACCTGCAGAGACAAAATACTAGGAGATGAATATTCACGCTCGAGCGTCAAAACTCTCTCTTGAGCGGAGAAGCAAAACAAAGGGCCCACTCGAGCGTTAAAATCCCCACTCGAGCGTGAAGGCCAAAATCTGGGCAACAACCTTTGGTTTCTAAACACAGCCAACAACTTGTTTCAAACCTGCCCAACACAACCCAAGACTCAAATACCAAGAGTAAAGGATGAAAATGAGAATAAAACAACATAATCACAGAACCAAGTCTGGAATACGATAAATAAAGGAAGGAAAAACCGGGATCGCTATAAAGGGGTTGTTTGGGAATTCTTTTTAATTTGACAGTAACAAAAAGTCAATAAATATAAAAAAATCAAAAATTATTTTTCATTCATCTTTTTACACATTTATTATTCATAGAAAATTTAAAAATCATCCCTAACATCTCATACTTTAGCCCCGAAAAAATTAAGACTTAACTGAAAAAAACCCGTAGGTCATAGGTCTAAGTCAAGTCAGTTATATAGCTATCATTTGCCAAGTGAGTTAGAATTAAAAGATATATAATAAAAATAAAAATCACAATTATTTCACTTTAAAAAAAAATGAAATTTACAATTATTACAATTTAAATATTTGATTTTTCAAAATTACTCTTTGATAGTACATTTTTTAAAAAATATCAATATCATAATTGTACTTTTTATGTTGTTAATGGATTTAAAAGAATGACAAAATAAGAAATTTACATTATTTTTGTACTTGATTTTTAAAAAGGGACTAATAATTTGAGACAATAAAAAATAAAATAAAAGATTAATATTTTGAGACGGAAGGAGTAGAAAAGATGAACGTGAAATGAATACCATGGCTTTAAAGAAAATTCAGAATCAACATAACTGGCCTAATTCAAATTGATCAGACTTCATACTAAAATCCCTCCATAATTACAAGACACTAAAGACCAAATCACTTTTCTAAGATATTGCGAATATTAAATCACTGAACAAATTTCCCATTTTATGCAGATGACACTTTTTTCCGGTTATTTTATCTTTAGTGGTTTTTATTTTTTAGGGTAAATTACATTGACACCCCCTTGAGGTTTGGTCTAATTATTACTTATTCCTGATGTTTTAGAAATTACGTTCTTACCTATGATGTTTTCGAAATTACATTCTTACCCCTGTAGTTAATAAATGATACACTGCTGGAAATGAGGGTTTTAGCGGTGTTTAAAAAATGCCGCTATAGGTCCAAAAAACGCCATAAAATCCTTTCGTGACGTTTAGCACCAAACGCCGAAGATGCGGCCGTCGCTATAACTTTGTGGCGCTTCAAAAACGTCGCTTTATGACTATAGGCGGCGTAGAAAACGCCGCTAAAAGTTCTACTAATAGTTCCGTGACGTCACCATGCTATTTAGCGACGTTTTTAAAACGCCGTCGTATCTCTTTTTAAAAAATCCTTTAGCTACGTTTTTAGAAACGCCGTGACAGCCTTTTTTTTTTTAATTTTTAAATTGTGCTAATTTTATGTGATTGAACCAAAAAATACTTATAAATAAAACTAAAAAATAGCACTAGTATAAAATAATAATTCCCATTCAAAATGCAACATTAATTCACTTTTCCATTCAATTTAATATCTAATCACCATTAAGCACAAAATAACATATCCAAAAATCATGTTTTAGCAAAGACATTAGTAGAGAAAAGTGTTGAGCTATAATGATGGATCCAACTATACAAGAGATGGCAAATTACTACCAAGAAAATTATCCCCAACTCAAAAATATATTCCTGCTTATAACATAAATTTCAAGCTTGGATGAGTTAAATTCAAATTGATGAGAGAGTTCATTGTTAATCTTCACTGGTCTACACGCCTGCATCAGAACATATACTGAAATCAGATTTACCAAAACAAAACAATAACAAGGTTATCTTATTTAAATGCTTCAATCCTTTATTAAATAGCCAATGCTGTAAAATAACTAGCATGTCCCTGCCATTGAGTATATTCAAGTGGCTAGATCCCCATCAGCCACAATTTAATTTATTTGTCCCTCAATAAAAGTGGCATGTGCATGATTGAGTGTCTAGTCCACTATTTGTACTGAGACTTCAAAAGAAAGGGCATGAAATAAGAAGTTGAGTTTGAAACTCAAGAAAACCAGTACGATATTCTAAATTTACATAAATAATAAATTCATCTTTTGGTCATTTAAACTTCACTAATCTAATTTCATTTAATAGAGAACATGAGAAAGAAAAAAATAAGTTTGCCCTTACCAGCACCCCACCCAGTCTTGATGCCAATGGTTTCTTGATAATTCCCAATGAACTGCAAGAAATGCACTTAAGTGAGCAAAATACCATATATAGCTCAATATAATTACAGCTATGTTGTTGAGAAATTAAACCATATATTGCTTATAATGTAGGACTTTGGCTAGCTAAGAGACCAAGACACATAAGCAGCTGATAATGCAAAGACAAACAACGAAGTATGTAATATGAAAAATCACTAAACTAACAAATTATAGTAATTAACAACTATTAGCTGCATGTATTACTTACTAGCATGAAATGTATTCAAGTGCATAATAAAATCTGAGAGGCTCTTAAATAATTTCTTACAAAAGGCCGAAGAAAATGAACAAAAGAAACAATGGATCTAATCAGTACTTGGAAAGAGGCCACAGACACAGCTACAATTTACTCAACTATTTAATTGCAGCAACTGACAACAAAGGGCGGCACATAGAGCTTCAATTCCTAATTCTTTCATAAAAATAATGATTATTACAGAGATTGGTTGTCATGCAAGAAGTCAAGTAAAATTTCCTTCACCACATGTAGTTGGAAATATATTATAAAGGGAATACCAATATTAAATATTAAAAATGATCAAAACATATTGGCAAGTAAACCATGACATATTGACCAATTTCTTGTGAATTTAAGGCCACCACTATAATCACTGAAGCTACTACATTAGGTTTCAAAATGCATTTAACCGGACCCTAGTGCATAAATACAAAATAAAATTGTCACGACCCAAACCCGGCCCTATGGGTTTAGCACCGTAACCGGCCAGTAATCTGAGATTACCGAAGGCCTGCAGAACAGTAGAATAGTAAAACAGAGTACAGGGCCTGGCGGAAGCCAATACAGTAAATGAATAGTGTCCATTGAGCTGTGTCAGTCTGTATGCCAAAAAGATTTTTCATGCATTCACATATACAAACAGTACAGTCTATACAAAATTTACAGTCACACAGTACAGGGACCTAATCCCTCGATAACAGTACGGTTAGCAGTTAACAGTCTATACAGTAATCCAAACAGTATGGAGACAGACGGGGGAAAAACAAGACACCCAAAGCCACAACATGGCAACTCGGAACCTCTAAGTGAGGCACAAAGGCTGGCTTGACAAAACTGGAGTCTAACCCACGCTCCTAGCTCCGATCTGGCGGCTGAGCACCTACATATATATAAAAACAGTGAGCTAAAGCCCAGTGAATAACATAATGCGTAAAGGGTGTCGTTAATTGAACAATAACCATTCCTATAATAGACTAACTCGCATTGACAATCCATAGGGAAAAGAAACTACACTTGCAGATTGTCATTACCATCTAACCTCCGATCATAAACATTTACTCTGACTAACCCACTGACATTGGGCACGCAAATGGGGGAATATTTTATCAATATTTTATCAACCTTAATACTCTTTTGTTTGTATCATGACCTCAGCTGAGAAAATAAATTAGGCAAAGCAAGTTCAATACAACTGAAATTACTTGCTGAAACACCTTCAACAACACCAGTTTTTATATTGTCCACCTCTATTCAAAATCTAAACATTACAAATAAAAATACATAAATTATAATTCTAAATAGTCTTAAAGTACATTTGACTCCTTAACGTAATTTTGCATTCTTTTCCACTAACAGT